TGCATGGAGGGCTTGGGTCATGCCTTCTGCTGCATGGATGAGAAACGGGGCAAGAAGGCCAACCGCAGGGTCAGCTGGAGGCCAGGCTGTGCTTGATGCGGAGCTGGAACTGGCCCCAGGGGACCAGACTGGCTGTGCTCAGAGCATTCTCTGTACTTCTTCCCTGTTGCTCCCTTTCCTCATCTGATGCTTCTCCGTCCCAGTGGGTCTTATGGGTCTTGTGTAGGTAGGGGAGCTCAGTCTAGTTCTCAGATTAGGTCTGTGTCTTAGTAGGACTGGGCACCAGTCTCCGACTGGGACGGAGATATGCTTTGAGCACCAGAATTGTATGGAGGAAGTCTGATCCGAGGGTGGAAGATGGAGTTAGGTGCTGATTTTCCAAATTCTCCACAGGAAGGAAGGTACCCGGTGGTCGAATCCCGCACTCTACTCTCACTGCTCCTTCTGCGGCCCCTCGGTTCCTCTCAGAAGTGGTTACAGCCTGAGCCTCTCCAGGCCCTCTTGCGCCTGAACTGAGACATACAAAGAAGAAAAAGATTCTAGAGACAGGGCTGGATGGGCAGTGCCAAGAGAAGGTGAAAAAGCAGTGCATCCAGCTGGGCTTGGAAGGGGGTGAAGGGCAGGTGACAGGGATGGCGGAGGGGAGACCCACTGCATAGAGGGGTCACACAGGCTGGACCAGGCAGAGGCTGAGGGGCTGTCTGATGAGGGATTTAGCTGCAGCCAGGCAGGAGGGAGGTGGCCCTGGCTGCTTTGTCACCACAGGTCAGGCGGGGTGGGTGGGGGAATATAAACAGGCATCCTTCCACCACACAGAGGTCCTGGCCTAGCTGCTGGGACCGTGGAGGGGGCTTGTGAAAGAAGGTGGATGGTGATGTGTGCTAGCTGGCCGGCAGAGATGACCTTGAAAGAGAGGAGAGGCAGAAGGGAGAATTCAGGGGGTGTCTGGGGAAGGGGAGGGTGGGAGGAGGGAGGAGGAGGCTGAGAGGATCGAGACAAGGAGGGGCTGCCTCCTGTCTGTCTGCCTCCCTCTGGGCCAGAAGAAGGTAGGACACAGACACGGGCAGGCATGGGGGTGGGAAGAAGCTGACAGCGTGTCCTTGAGCCCCGGGTTTCCCTGGGCCCTGAGGGTACATGCCCTGCTCCTGCTGGTGACTGCTGACTCACCTCCCATGGGATCCCCCCCCACCTTTTCCAGCCTGGGAGAGGTCCTTCCCAGTTTTTATTTTTCCGAAGTGTTTTGGAGAACTGAGGTGTTGGTACAACACTTCGCTAGCCTGCGCAAGCAACAGCCCAAACAAACAAACTCTTGGGATATTAATCTCCTGCTCTAGGAGGGAATTCTCATGCCTCCTGCAGGAATTCCTGCAATGATGCCCCCCAGCCCCCATCTTTTCTTTCTTTCTTTCTTTCTTTCTTTCTTTCTTTCTTTCTTTCTTTCTTTCTTTTTTTTTTTTTGCAAATTCTATATTTTTCCTCATCTTTTTCTTGGACAAAGCCTGTCCCCTGCTATTTTCTCTGTGTAAAGTGGGGATGACAATTCCTTCTTCACAAGGTGGTTGGAGTTAGGTTCTTTATGAAAGAGGTTTAGGGCTGGGGATGTAGTTAAGCAGTAGAGTGCTTGCCTAGCACATACAAGCCCTGGGTTCAATCCCCAGTGCCACAAAAAGAAAATGATTTATAAAGTACAAATTTACAACCTGACAGAGATGGCCATTCCCAGGAGGCTGAAGGGAAAAAGAAATAGGAAGGAAGTCTGCAAGGGAGCTGGGAGAGGAAGTCTCCCAGGCTCCAGTCAAATTCACCATATGGCTCAAAGGGCAGATGACCCTTCCTTTGTCATAAAGAAGAGGGACCCTGGCTTCTCCCCTCCACCTCCTTCCTGGACACTGTCAACAGGCTAGAGAGGCTGTGCTGGGGCCCAGGGCCTTGCTGAGGAGCAGGGTCTCCCCTTCTTTCAGGGCTGGTGGTTGGGCCCCAAGTGCTAGCGTTGGGGTCAGAATTGGGTGTGGATAGACCTGCTGACTGGCCTCTGAGGACCAGGATGTGTGAGATTAGGCAAAGTGTAACCTGGGGAGAGGTGGAGTCTTGGGCAGATGTACACTGGTGGCTGGCATGGGCAGTGAGACCCTCGGGCTAGCTGCCATGCTGCCCAGACCTTGTGGTACCCTCCTGGGCTCCATTCCCTTTTCTCCCAGACCTGGCTGGCACCCACCCTCCTGGTCAATCTTACCACCTTCTCCATTCTGTGGGACGGGGGGGGGGAGGAGGAGGAAGAGGAGAAGGAGGGGGGGGGGGTGGTGTGTCTGCTCAACAGCGGCTGTCACTGCACCTCCTCTGGGTCTGAGCAGCACTGGAGCCCAGCTCCACAGCAGGAGACAGGATGTAGCAGTTGATCCCACCCCTCCCCTGGGGCGAGGGACAGATGCTTCATTTAGAATTTCTTTGGGGAGACAGCCAACAAGGGCATTCTTTCTGTTCTTTGGGCTTCCCCAGCCAAAACTAGGGGATTAGTCAGGAGACTGATGCGGAGGTGCCGCCTCAGGGAAATCCTAGGAGTGCACGGGGTGGCCCCAGGGAAGGCGGCAGGGCCTGGAATCACTGGTACCCTCCTGTGCTTAGGCAGGAATCTGAGGACCTTTTTGTATGTGCAGATGAACCTCTAGGGATGACTGGACTTCTAGTACCTAGGAACCTCTTCTAGAAAATCTCTTTTCTTTATTTATTTTTGGTGCCATGAGGGGGTTGTCTTTCCATCTAGGATTTTCTTGAAGGTGGAGATCTTGAGACTTTCAGGTGTTGCGTGTTGAGGCTTTTCATAACCCTATAGGCTGTGGAGCGAGAAAATGGGAAGTGGGAGGGGGTAGGAAGGGTAGAGAAGAGAGGAAGAGAAAGAGAGAAAAGAGGAAGAGAAACAGAGGCCCAGCACAGAGCTGGACATGCCCACACAGAGTAGAGCCCACACACAGGTGTACCCATACACACACTAACTCTGTAGCCAGTGAGAGCTGTACAGTCTGAAAGGCAAGGGACAGGAGGCTCATTGCTCGCCCAGCCCTCCCCGGAGCAGGGTTTGTTGGGCTTCTTTGTCTCTCGGAGAGAAGGAGCAACATCACCAGGCCCTCCGCTGCCTTATTTGGGAGCCAGTGCAGGCAGCTCTGGTCCAAGCATCAGTCATTCGTGTGAGTGGGGTAAGTGATTCATCTTTTCTAGTTCTCAAATTCTTCATCTGAGGAATGTGACTAATAATTCCTGACTTGTCAGCATGCAGGACTGTCAGGAGGATGCAAAGTGCTTGGTGAGGTGCTAGACGGGTGGGGGAGGCAGATTAATGGCTTCCCATCCACATGCACCAAGAGAAACACCTGTGCCTCCAGGCTCAAGGACCACCTGGGATCCTGAGTGGTTGACTTCGAAACCCTAAACCTTGCCATCTCTTCCTCCATGTTTGGCTTTGGCTTAAATATTTGATCTACAAGGAAGTCTTTGGGACCCTTAGATGTGGCTCCTCTCGTAAACCCTGGTGATGTTCTGTGCATTCCCTCTATAGCACTTACTGTAACTCAAATAGTGTGGTTATTTGTGTTAGCCATTTGTTTCACACCTGTCTTCTGCACTAGAGTAGAAGCTCCATGAGGCAAAGGAGTATGTCTGCTGCGCACCATCTTGTCACAAGCATGTGACACTGTGCCTGGCATATGGCAAACAGCAGGCAGGTGCTCCAGAGAACCCTTCCCTTGCTGTTCGAGCAAAGACACCATCGGCCTCAACCTTTCCGCGTGCCTCCAACACTGGACGCCAAGCACCAGCCAGCACAGCCCCTTGACCTGTATCTCCCATCCTTTATCATTCAGAGAATGAGTCGGCTGGATAGTAGCTGCTCTTCTTCCCTTCCACGCAGCACGGAGGCCCTGCTCAGCGCCCAGAAAGACTGCAGGTAATTGCTAGATTTGTTGCTTTATTATCTTTGCCCAAGGCTGCCCTCTGCTGGTTGAACATTGCAGGCTAGAATGGGAAGGATGGAAACCCTATTGGAAACCCTACTGGATGGATGGAAACCTGCCGGCTGAGCCTGGCTCAGGCCTACGAAGAGGTCCCGGTTACCTAAACAGACATCCTGCAGTAGAGTCAGGACCACTCTCCACCCTTCTGGATGGCTCCCTTGCACCTCCACAGGAGGATTCAGCCTAGGAAGAGCAAGAATTAAGGAGACTGTGCTCACCCCAGTGGAAGGGCGTAGAGGTAGAGAAAGGCTAGCTGACAGAACTATTTTGTCTCCTCCATGGGGTGTTGGCAGGCTTTTTAACAACCAGCCCTCAAAACCCCAAACCCAAACCTAGATGGTGGCACTTGTGGATTCCATGGTGGTGTCGCTCTCCCACCGTGGCCAATTTCAAACACCAATGTGATGTTACTGGACAAAGATTTGGGAAGAGGGACAAGTAATGTGCCATTAGATTGAATTTCCACCACACAGGTACCATGGACATAAATAACTTCAGGGACATGTTTAAGAGTAAAAGATAATAAAACAATGGGCAAGTGATGAATTTTGAATATTTATTACACTTGTTTTCAATATAATGCATTTCATTGTGAGGTTATATAATTTACTTTTTTCATAATGGCTGTGTTTAACAACTGACTTTCAAGATTCTAGAAAATTTAATCATCAGCTCCTTGCAAGCCTTGTAGCTGGTAAGAGCTGGCTCCAGCCCTCTGCTGCTTCTCCCCTCCCCCTCCATCCTCTGCCTCCTCCACCTCCTCCTCTTCTTCCTTGTTCATGGCTTTCCTGGCATTCTGTGTGGGCAGGAGGGAAGAGGAATATGGAAAAGAGCTCGACTGCAGACGCTGCTCTTCTCTGAGCCAGGAGACATAAGGTGTTAAGGAAAGAGGAGGGAGAGATGCAAATCTGGCTACTGAAGGGTGCTGCAGAGTGTGTGTGTGTGTGTATGTGCAGGGCTGAGGTGGTGATTTTTGCAACTGGATCAGGAGGCTGTCTAGTGCTGGGGGCTGGGTGGCATGTGCCTCCGGTGGGCTCGACCTGGGGGGAGATGACTGTGGGACGCGGTGAAGCTACCAGTGGGGAGCCGGGGCAGGCAGAAGTAAGCACTGGGGAAGAGGCTGAGGTTGATGGGGTTCCCGTCCAGGCGGATGTCTTCCAGCCGCCTGCGGGTATGTCTGTGCTTCGCCTCATCGCAGAAGGCGTCTCTCGGCATGGTCTCTATCACATTATTCTGCAAAGCATAGACCGCAGCTAAGTCCCTGCCCAGAGGCCTCTCCCACCCAAAGCGCTCACTTGTCATCACTCCCACCAGCTCTGTCTTTCCTGGGCAACTGGGGAAACGAAGGCCCTGGAATGTGGAGGCCACACAATGAGGGAGGAGACAAGGACACTCATGGAGGATGAGGGAGAGATTAAGTGGGTGAAGGGAGGAAGAGGATAGGACAGCTGGAGGCGCTGATGGTAGGGGAAGGGGAGAAACAGAAGGTAAGAAAAGGAAGAGCAGATAAGGGAGGTGAAATAAAGTCACAGAGGGATAGTTTTATGAAAGGAGAAATGGAGATCTGGTATGGTACTCCATGCCTATAATCCCAGCTCTCTGGGTATCAAGGCAGAAGATCACAAGTTCTAGTCCTGCCTTGGCAATTTAGTCAGTTAGTGAGATGGACTCAAAAATTAAAAGGATGAGGGGTTGGGCATATAGCTCAGTGTGAAGGCCTGGGCTCAATCCCCAGGTCTGTAAAATAAAAAAGGGGGAGCAGGTAGAGGAGAAAAAGAAATGGATAAAATTAAATGGAGACCACAGACTAGATAAGACCCTGTCTTCAACACACCCCAGCTGCTGAGGCCGCCTCCTCATCTCTCCCATGAGCTGGCCCTGTCATGGGGCCCTTACCTGCAGATGTAGTGAACGCAGGCTCAGGGGCAGAGACCCGGGGACAGAATCCAGCAGGTTGTCTGCCAAGTAGAGGAACTGCAGCTTCTCCAGGGCCTGTGGACATAGGCAACACTGGAGGAGGGCTGCCCTGCTGGGCCATGGCAGCAGGGAGGTACTAACGAGGCCAGAGTCCGGTACTCCCTTTGCTGACTCTGGGTTTATGTGGCCTCAGTCACACCCTGCACCTCGGCTGCGTGTTGCGTGTGGGGCCTGAGGATGCTTGGGTCTTTAAGGAGCTAGCAGATGTCAACCACAAATAAATGCAAGAGCAGCGCTGTGACCACCAAGGCGTGTGGAGGGCTGTGATGGTGGCCAGGAATGCAGGTAGGAGGACCAGGGGACATCTCAGCTCAACTTCTCTGCCATGAGAGGGGCCTGCCCCAGTGCTAGCCCTGCAGCAGAGGCGGTGGCCTGTTCAGGAGATGTCAGACCAGTGGGACGAGAACCCTGAGGCGCGTACTTAGCAGAGGCAGCATGTGCGAGGGACAGCACCACCAGAAGCAGGTGGGCTAATGGGAGCAGGATGGGGGAGAGATAAGCCTCAGGGCCCCAAGAGCAGTGAAGAATAATAGCTCCCATTTATGGAGCATCTGCTATCTGTATGTCATCTTCCCGCGCTCTGGGTAAATGCTGTTGTATTGAATCCTGTCAACTAGGAAGCATTGTCCTCACTCTGCAGGCGAGGAAACAGCATCAGAGGGCTGAAGTGACTCACCCAGGAGCCCCGATGCTTCTGGCTCCAAAGCTTCTGCCTCATCCTAGGCTGAGAAAACAGTCTTGAGACAGGGTAGAAAGGTGCCTCATAGCATGGAGACAGCCTGACGTTGCTTAGAGCTGGGCCAGTAAGGGAGGGGCTCAGTAATCAGGCAGCCACGGCCCTTCCCTTGGGAAACTGAGGCCCGAGGGCATGCAGAGCTTCTGAGTCCACAGCAGAAGCAGTGGTGTCGCTGATTGCACAGAGGGCAGAGGATGGCAGAGGGACTAAGGCATAACTCTGCCCTCAGCCTGTTTTGAAAAGCTGCTCTGGCCAGGTATGGTGGCTCACTCCTGTAATCCCAGCTACTCTGGAGGCTAAGGCAGGAAGATTGCCTGTTCTGGGACAGCCTGAGTGATATAATGAGACTCTGTCTCAAAATGAAACAAAAGAGAAAAGGCTGGGGTGGGGAGGCAGCTGGGAGATAGCTTGACACTTCCTGGGTTCAATCCCCAGGACTGGAAAAAGAAAAGTTTGACTCTTTTGCAAGTCTTTTTTGATTTAATGCTTCTAAACGTGAATAGGCTTGCAAAAAGTCTACAGCAGTCTGCATTGCTACATGATGGGGATATGTTCCGAGCAATGTGTTGTCAGTGTGCAATTTCTTTCACGTAAAGAGTACAGAATACACTTGTACAAACTCAGAGAGCCACAATGACACCAGGTGAAATAATTGTAGGGACCCGCCATTATATGTGTTGTCCAGTGTTGATGGAAATGTCATTACAAACTGTGCACCTGCGCTTAGCAAAGGGACAAAGAACTTCTAAAAGAAGGGGATACGGTCTGGGCCATTCTTAGCCATGCAGCCGGCGCCTGGAAGGAAGTGGGGTCAGTCTTGTCCACATTCTGCCCTACTTGCTCAAGAGAACTGCTCCGGGCTCTTCCCAGCCCTGTGGAGTGGGCAGCTCCAGGGGGCCGTGCTCTCGACATGAGACTTTCCCCTCTGCATTCAAAGGGGCAGCCAGTGACCCCTCAGATTCATATTCTCTCTCTCTCTCTCTCTCTCTCTCTCTCTCTCTCTCTCTC